GAACTCTAAATGTTAATGATTATAAAGTACTACAAAACAAGTTTCTAAATAAATCTTATTCTCAAAAGCTAGTGAATAGTCAGTTAATGTCCATCACTGGCCTGTAATCCCAGGACTTTGGGAGGCCAAGGAGGGAGGATCACTTGAGGTAATGAGTTAGAGAACAGCCTGGACAACAAAATGAGACCCCATCTCTACAAAAAAAAAAATTAGCTGAGCATGGTGGCGTGCACCTGTGGACCCACCTACATATGAGGCTGAGGTTGGAGAATCATTTGAGCCCTGGAGGTAGAGGCTGCCATCTGCAGGCCAAAAGAATAATGGCCTTGGAAGGGCATAAGTTCTACCACACTTGGTGGTTCTCACCATGCAGCTTGGAGAAGGCATGATACTCTACATTACCACCCATATAAGTAATGTTTGTAAAATTCTTAATAAAAAATTTAGGACAAGCATGTCTGCTTACAGGTATTGTCTGTTAAAACTCGTCTATAGCCTGTTTCATGAATGCTTTGTCAGATTATGCAAGTTAAAGTGCAATATTTGAAGACTATAAGTGATGGTGTATCTTGTTTCTAATAAGATAAACTCTTTTGCCTTTGTTTTATTACGGAGTTATATGTCAGCGTTTGAAACATGCTGTGTGATATGATAGGTTTAAAATAAATTCTTTAAAAGAAGAATACTGAAACTAGCCTTGTAGATTTGTCTGGTGCATATGATAAAACCAACAACTTTATTAGGTTGGTGGCAATACCCTGCTGGCTAACTTTCAAGCGATTGGGTTTTTTAAGTTAGGCAAGTACACACTTCTAAAATTGGATTTTCCTTTGAAAATGTGTAGGGTGAGAGGAGAATGTCTTAACTCTATGTTGTGATCACATGTAGAAATATATGTGCTCAAACAGCGCCCAGATTTTTCAGTTTAATCCAGTGTTCCACATGTGTGACTGCTGTTTCTGAGAGAAGTTTCCAAAAGGTCGCCATTTCTCAGAATGGAATAAACCTGTTGTCAAAAGGCTTTTCTTAGGAATGAAACATGTCTGGGTTAATCTAAACAAAAATGCCTCAGTTTTCACAGTACCAAAGTTCACATAAAAGGTGAAAGCTCCAGGATCAATGCCATGACTCCATGAAAAGTGATGGATAGTAGATGCATATTAAACTATGTATCCGCAACACTAATTTGTGACCATTATGAATCCTTTCATCTGCATTTTAGGAAAAAGTAGTTGGCTATTTAGAGGTATGTACATCATTGTTAGTCAGTCTTACAGATAAAAACATATTGGCCCACCACACTCTGTCCACTTTCTTAGGCTACAGAGAAAAGTCATGATTGGTGTCAATACAAGTTCATGTTTTCCAATCTAAAATTATTTTTAATTAAATAAAAAATAAATTTTAAATGCAGTAAAAATACTAATTTGAATAGAAACATGCCTCATATTATTTTTACAAATGCATAGTTTTGTTTATTTAAACCAAAATCTTGAGACCCTTAAAAACACGAAATTGACCAAGCACGGCAGCTCATGCCTGTAATATTAGCACTTTGGGAGGCCGAGGCAGGCAGATCACCAGAGGTTGGGAGTTTGAGACCAGCCTGACCAACATGGAGAACCTCATCTCTACTAAAAATACAAAAAATTAATCGGGTGTGGTGGTGCATGCCTGTAATCCCAGCTACTCAGGAGGCTGAGGCAGGAGAATCGTTTGAACCCGGGAGGCGAGGGTTCAGATTTCTCAGGTTGTGCTACAGTAGTCTTTGACCACAATGCCAATTTGATTAAATCTTGTAAGGATACCAGGAAACTGGCAACAGTCACTGGATATCTGGATGTAGTGGCTCATTGACATCTGGATGGCTGAACGGGTCATTATAGGATAAAGGATTTAGTCCAATTTAGCCAGAGGCCAGTCTGTTTGAGAAGGAAATAGTATTCTGTAAAATACGAACGGAACCCAATGATACTTTTACTCACCAACTTGAAAGAGCAACAATAACTTTGAAATTTTGTACCATAATGAACTTGAGAAATATATTCTTTAGGCAGCTTGAAAGAAATGAAAGATTATTGGTTTTCAGGAATAAATACGTTAGTAAAGGAACATCAAGATGATATTAAAGACTCTTAAGGGACTCTACGCAAACCATAATGCTATGTTAGGGCAACAAAGTGGAATTTGAACCATGCCTTGAAAATACAGAAAAGGGCTCTTGGTAGCAATGGAAATCTACTTTTCAGCACAAGTAGGATGTTTATGAGAATTTCATTTTGTCTAGGATGAAGAAAGTGGTAGAAGTATTTCTCCCAAAATCTGCTTAGCAAGTAGTTTATCGCCAAAGATTATGAAGGCTTCTTCAGTGAGTCAGAAGGTATGGAAAAGAATGCCTTAAGAATTTTTCAGGATTTAACAGTTATATAACACTTACAAAACCATTCATGGTAATTTGGTTGCCTTTGAGGTGGGAAAAAGAGATGATTTTTGTCTAGGGAGAAGAAAAAGGAGGAAGAGAAGAAAGGAAATCAAAATAATAATGAGAAGAGCAATGGCATGTTCACTAGTCTACTTGATCCTACATTGTATACAGGTGTCCTTGAAAACGTACCTTAGGCATATCAAAGATGTTTTGAAAACAACCTCCCCGGGTAACTGATATTTAATACAATGCAACTCTCCAAGATGGTCCAAACAGTTTGTTTTAGCTTAGCCCCTCAATTACTATCTTAAATCAGGAGAGCTGCCAGTAGGTTCTTTGGGGATGCTACATCATACAACTTTTGGAGACAGCATTTACATCTACCTCTATGTGAACAGATCCTTGGAGACATTCAGGATGGCAGCCCTGCAGGTCCTGACCCTTTCCACACAATATCCTATAGGTTAACAGGGAATACCATCAGCTCTTTAAGATATGGTAAGACAGTTTGAAAAGGCTCTACAACTCCAGTTCTCTGAGGAAAGGGATACAAGTTGTAAGACAACAAGCCCCTCAAATTCCTTCTCATAGCAAAGTAACTTATTTGCCTCTACTTTGTACCCCGAAGGCACTCAGTAGGCTTGGCATCATATATGAGAAGCTAGAGGATCCAGCCTGGATGAGAGTCCCTTAATCCTTGTTTCTTCAAGTCTTTGGATCCCATTTGAAGGAGCAGGAATTCCTTTATGATATCATCTCTCAAACAGGTTCTCCTGTTAAGCAATCAGGGCCTCAAATAGATGACTTCTGATTGAAAATACGTAATAAGGAAAACTTTTAAAGAAAAAAATCACCCAAAATTCCACTGTCCCCCCCCCCCCCCGAGACAGAATCTCGTTCTGCCTCCTAGGCTGGAGTACAGTGACACAATCTTGGCTCGCTGCAGCCTCCACCTCCAGAGCTGAAGCAATTCTCCTGCCTCAGCCTCCCAAGCAGCTGGGATTACAGTCACCCACCACCACACCTGGCTAATTTTTGTATTTTTAGTAGATGGGGTTTTACCATGTTGGCCAGGCTGGTTTTGAACTCCTGACCTCAAAAGATCCACCCAACCTGGCCTCCCAAAGTGCTGGGATTACAGGCATGAGACACCACGCCCAGCCAATTTTTAGTTTTTGCACAAAGCTGTCAAGTCTCCATTTCTTATTTGCATATTTAGATAAAATTTTACTTTGTTGAAGCTTACTGTACATACCCATTGTATATCAAAATTTTACAAAAATATCAATGAATAACAATGTAATCTTGAAAAAGCATTTAAATAGAATTTCTGGATTCTTATAAAATCGATATGGATTTATGCCATTTGAAACAGTACGTGGCTAATGAGCACTTGAAATGTGGCTAGTATGAAAAGAGATGTGCTGTTAATATGTGAAGTAAACATGGATTTGAAAAAAGTATAAAATATTTCAATTTTTATATTGATTAAATGTTGAAATAACATTTTGAGTGTATTAAGTATATTTAAACATTAAAATTATTAAAGAAAGTTTACCTTTTTATTCCTTTTACTGTGGCTACTAAAAATCTTACATACATGGCTTGCATTATTTTTCTGTTAGACTGTGTTGATACAGATTATCACAAACAGTGGTGGGATCTTAAAATTAGAAAAGAAACTAAAATTTTAACAATAAGGGAATGGTTAAATCATTTTTAGTATGTTTACTAAATAGAATATTGTGCAGCCTTTAATATGTGGCCCCCCCAAATGTATGTAATGTTATATTAGGTAAAGAAAGCATGGCCAGACACCATGGCTCACACCTGTAATCACAGCACTTTGGGAGGCCAAGGTAAGAGGATCAATTGAACCCAGGCAGTTGAAGCTGCAGTGAGCCATGATTATACCACTGCACTTCAGCCCGGGCAACAGAGGTAAACCCCATTTCTTTAAAAACAAAACAAAACAAAACAAACATGATAACAAAGCTATACAATTTTTTTTTTAACTAGGAGAATTTTTCCAAAAAGCTAACTGGAGATATGTTCAGAAGATTGAATTCCAAGTGATGTTTCCCTCTTTTCCTTTTATTTTCAAATTTAAAATAAAGTCATAAAACTTATTTTATAAGTTTTATGACGTTTATAAAAATAAAACTTTTTATGTTTTATGACTTATATCAAATATATTAAACTTTATATATATTTATGACTTTATTATATCAAATATATTAAAGTCATAAAACTTATTTTTTTATTTTAAAAAAATTACTGGGTGATACTGATTCATAGACTCAGATCAAAGTAAATGAAGGAATGGTGATATATTAGTGTTCTCAATATGGCATTGTGGAGAAAGGAACAGCTAACTATGTCTTCCATCCCACTGCTCCGTGGGAATTAGAAAGTAAAACTCCGAAGGATGGGACAGTTGATAATATATATATATTGTGTTTGTAAAGAATGAGATAACCTAAGTCTAAGGTCCTTCAAGGAGTTAAAGCTCTGAAAATCTTGCCCTGTTTAAATGCTTCCCCTTGCTAAGATTTATTTTTTTCTTTATTACTAGATTCATGATGTTGCTATCTAAAGTTGAGAAATTGTCGGAAGAAATCGTGGAGATAATGCAAAATTTAAGTAATATACAGGTTCGCATTTTTTTGTACTTCTACTACCCTGTTTGAAAAGCAAAGGAAAGAAGTGTCCCAGGTTGGAGAATCCAATCCAGGAAAGAGTTTGCACAGAGTATGTTTTACTTACTTTTCATGGGAATTTTTTTTTATAGAATACTATTTAACCATAATATTTTAGTAATATCTGGCTTTTCACATTTAAATATAAATTGGTAGATTATGTTTAGTCTTTTTAGTTAATTATACTTTTATTTTTTTTTTAGACAGAGTTTCACTCTCTTGTTGCCCAGGCTGGAGTGCAATGCACGATCTAAGCTCACCACAACCTCTGCCTCTTGGCTTCAAGTGATTCTCCTGCCTCAGCCTTCTAAGTAGCTGGGATTACAGGCATACACCACCATACCGGGCTGATTTTGTTTTTGTTTTTGTTTTTTAGTAGAGACGGGGTTTCTCCATGTTGATCAGGGTGGTCTCGAACTTCTGACCTCAGGTCATCTGCCCTCCTTGGCCTCCCAAAGTACTGGAATTACATGCGTGAGCCATCGTGCCCAGCCCTTATAAATTGTTTTTATTCAGGCATTTTAGGGCTTGAAATAGTTGACCTAGCAGAAAAAGTTAAATATCCTAACAGAGTTTAAGTGTTTCAAATGAAGGAAACAAGTACTGTATTTTCACTAGATGTTTCAGTAATCTCGTATGTGTAGAGAAACTGAACTCATTCGAGATGGCTTTCTTGTAGGCTTTGGAGGGCAGTAGAGAGCTTGAAAATCTCATTGGAATCTCCTGTGGATCACGTTTCTTAAAAAGAGAAATGAAGAAAACCAAAGAACTAAGTAAGAATTTTTGAATTTTCATTGACAGTAATTTTAAAGATAAGCCTATTAATTTGTCTCATATTTAAATTCATTAGGCTTCTTTATATATATTATTACTGGACATGTGATAAAAATACTATTACCTTCTTTAAGAAGCCACATATCTTTCACCAGGATGTGTTATTTTGGGGATTCTGTTTGAATGTGAGTGAAAAGACTGTACCTTGGAAACTGGTAGTAGGTTTTTTAAACATAATGTGCCCCACCTGCCTCCCCCGCCTTTTTTTTTTTTTAAGACGGAGTCTCTCGCCCAGGCTAGAGTGCAATGGTGTGGTCTTGGCTCACTCAACCTCCGCCTCCCGGGTTCAAGCAATTCTCCTACCTCAGCCGCCCTGCCGAGTAGCCGGGATTACAAGGGCCTGGCACCACACCGGCTAATTTTTGTATTTTTAGTAGAGATGGTATTTCACCTACCGAGGTAGGCGGATCACGAGGTCAGGAGTTTGAGACCAGTTCGAGGCTGGTCTAGAACTCCTGACCTCATGATCCGCCTACCTCGGCCTCCCAAAATGCTGGGATTACAGGTGTGAGCCACCTCGCCTGGCCACCCATTTTTATAATAAGATATAATAAGGTATTCTATTTTATACTTGATAGTTATAAATTATTTTGAATTACTTTTTTCTCATGAAATTGTTTGAATAATGAGAAATTATCCATATTCTATTAATTCTTAACGTGGGATTTTTTTCTTCTTTTAGTGACAAAAGTAACTAAACAAAAACTGTTTAAAAAGAGTTCAGGACTTCCTCACAGAGGTAAGTAGTTGTGTTTTAGTTTATTACAAAAAAAGATGCTTTCATCCCATTTTGTCAATTAAAACTAATCATCATAAATCTTTTTTAGTGGTTTTCTTTTTTCCTCAGAGATCCCTGTTTTGAAGTGTATTCTTTTAAAAGACCCTGAATCTCATTTGAAAAGTTTTATATTGCATTTAGCAGAAGATAATATCTGATGAGATCAACTCTCTGATGATTGAACTTTTTAAATGTCTTTTGAAATGCAGTCTACTACATAAGATTTAAGTTTTGTCTTTTTATTAAAATTTCTTTTTGAGAATACAGACAAATAGGAGCAACAATGCATTAATATACTGCAGTTTTTAGTGTTGCACTGGAAGAATTAAGAGTTACTTTCTAACCAGTATTCTGGAAACTTTCACATCATTAATGTGCCTTGTTCTACTATGAACTCTTGTACCTCTGGGCATTTCATAGTATGGAAAACTAAGTAAACAGTTTCTAAGTTTCCATAGGAAGTACACATTCACACCTCAATAAGCAAAACAATCATGAACTATAAAATACTGAAACCTTTAAATTAATATAAGGTGATTAATAGTACTGACATGAATCCTATTTAGCAATTTCTGCAAGTGGAATTAGGCCTTAAAATGGGTGGCCATGTTTGTAGCCTACCATTTTTAAATGCCTATGACTGCCATTTATTTAGTACCTATAATTACTATATTTTCAATACTAGGATCAGCACATCTTTACAGCAATGCAGCAAGAGAGCTACACTGCATTGTTATTGTCATTATAGACAAGGAGCAAAGACACAAAAAATATTCAGTAATGTGCCCAAGACTTTTACTTAGGTGACAGTGCAAGGATTCCAACCAAAGACCAGTCTGCCCTCAAAAACTCTGTTCTTCTCATTATTCTATGTTATCTTTTCCTAAAACAAAGGAAATCATCCAATCATCCCAGCTTTCAGATTCAAACATGGCACATAATTGAAACTGCTCCAACTAATCTGACATATTAGCCTGAGTTTAGAACCTTTAATAAGCCACTAATGGGTTCACAATGGAAAGTGCTAGAATTGCCAGCCAGTCAGATCAAAAGGTCAGCTGGGTAATGCAGGCTGCAGCTATGGCAAGACTCCTCCAAAACTTATGTGGGAAGGCAGCTGAATAGGCTTCCTGAGCTTTTCAGTTGAATAACTAACATCTACTGTGATGCCAACAATTTAAGAACATGAAAGGTAGCTCTTTCTTGGCAACAGCTTGGGCTCTCTTCTTTTTCAAAAACAAATGTGTGTGTGTCTGTATGTGTGTGTGTGTGTGTGTTTATATAAAATATATAATATATATTATATATTTTAGAGACAGGATTGTACCCTGTCACCCAGGCTGAAGTGATGATTACAGGCATGAGCCAACACGCCGGACCTCTTTTCTCTTACTTCAGTTGTGTAACTTGATTAGAATGTGTAACTGGATTTCAGTGGTTTCAATCTCTCCTAACTTGACAACATTTAAAGGATCACATTGGGAAAGTGAAATGTTTATTATTTCCCAATTGGAAGAAATCTTGCCAATCTATATATTCTATGCCAATAGTGTGATTTCTTTAAAAATCTGTAACTTCCTAGAACTAATCAGAATTGGGCTTAACATAGTTGGCTTTTGCAAACAGCTTTGAGGAATAAGAGGAAAATTCTAGAATAAATAAGTGAACTGTCACTGCTAATAATGTAAAAAAAAAAATTTTTTTTTTTTTCGAGACGGAGTTTTGCTCTTGTTACCCGGGCTGGAGTGCAATGGCGCGATCTCGGCTCACCGCAACCTCCGCCTCCTGGGTTCAGGCAATTCTCCTGCCTCAGCCTCCTGAGTAGCTGGGATTACAGGCACGAGCCACCATGCCCAGCTAATTTTTTGTAATTTTAGTAGAGACGGGGTTTCACCATGTTTACCAGGATGGTCTCGATCTCTCGACCTCGTGATCCACCCGCCTCGGCCTCCCAAAGTGCTGGGATTACAGGCTTGAGCCACCACGCCCGGCTAAAAAAAAAAAAAATTTTTTTTTTAATGTGTACTTCATTAAAATATTTTTCCTTCCAGGGGATACTTCTGTCATTTCCTTACGGCCATCTAAAATACATCAATTATTTGTGTGTTTATGCATGATCAGCCTTGAAACTGTTTTCTATTATTTTAGGCATTAAGGCTGACTTGCCCAGATTTTTCCAAAGGACTGACTTCCTGCATAGAGGAGACTGTATCACTAAATCATGTTTGTAAATTTCTAATAATTATTGTTTATTTGTTGGTTTAAATGAAAACTCAGTTTAAAATATATAATACATAGTATCTAGATAAGTATGTTATGTATTAATGTGTATTATATTCTATGAAGTCATATTCCAATTCTGTTTCTTGGTAGGAGCTACATTAGCTCTTTATATTTTCTGAGGTATTTAAAACTTCATTAGCATTTTACCTAATTTTGGAAAATTCATATTGCCTGAAAAATAGATTGAACCTTATTTTTGTTGTAATTTGAGTTTGAGCTATATAATTTTCCTGAGTGCTTTTCCTACCTCTTTCTCTGGTTCCTAACATATATATTAGTTCTTGGGGGTTTTTGTTTGTTTTTTGGTTAACAATTATGTACACATACAAACATGCACACACATGTAAATTTTTTTACTAAGGTAACAGTTTTTACCCTTTTCTGCTCATACATTAATTTTAAGGGGATTTTACTAATTTTTTTGACATCTCAAGCTAGTTTGCTTTAGTTCCTTATTTTGCAATCTGGCCTTGAAATTTCCACTTTACTTTTTTTTATTATTTATTCATTTTTACGCAGAATTGTTTAAGTTTTAAAATGTTTTGGGAGTTTGTCATAATAGTAGAAAATAAGTAAAATAAAATTATCCCTATAATATGTATAGGATATATTAAGGTAATTATAAAAATGAGAATAAGCCAATTACTTGTTTCACTATCAGAAGAATGTCCTTCAGATTCTTCTGGGTTTTGGTGTTTTGTTTTGTTCTTTTGTCTTTCAGATTCTCATAAAAGTTTCCTGGAATAGTTAAAATAGACAGTACCGTGAGAATTTCAATATTTATGCTATCATTGCCTCTTCTAGTTGGTCTTTTTGTTCTACTAATATTTATTTTTTCATTTCTGTGGGAATTTCAGTTACTTCAGTTGCAGTCTTTATTACAGTAAGAGTATAATTGTAAAAACACTAATGCTTTAAGTAAATAGACATCTGACACACATTCTTAAGGCTTTATGTAACTTATTCAAGAGAAATTTAAAACATACACAATAAAATTAAAAGGCATACTGAGATTTTCATAATTTCATAAGAACTGGACCTGGTAAATGGGGATGTCTTGATGAGAGTATATGAATAAAAGATCTCCTCTGCTAAACACAGATTTCTTAAACAAAGGAAGACTTCTTTCTTTCTTCAGTTACTTAGGAAATAAGCCTAATTTTGCCTTCCTCAGTAACACTGGCTTTATGACTATTAGGGAAATAATTAAATGAAAGGTTCTTTTTCTGTTTGATTTGGATGTGAATTTTCACAATTATTTTAAATTTGTTATGCTGAAGATTTAAAACATGACTATTCAGTGGGCTGATACAGATGGAATGTCACATTATCATCACATGGTGAGGCATGAAATTTATTTACTTTACATAATCAACCTCTTCTTAAAACAACTTGATACAGATATTTTTTAGTCAATAGACGGCATTATATAGTACATAATAGTTTCATTTTTTTCTGAAGATATTACAAAATACCATCATTGTTTGTCTATGACTAGTACTTCCAATAAACAAAATGTTTTTGAAAAGAATGTAAGCAAATTGTAGAGCAGTTGCCAAGATATGAAATCTAGACACTTAGCTTCAGTCCAAAACGTATTTTATCTGTTTTGAGAATAATTGTGTAGGTTGCAGTATGCATATTTTAAATGAAATGGAACCATCTGAACTTTACATTGTTCAAAAAACTTGACTGTTTCAGCTGTTTGTAATAGAAAATATTTCAGAATGTCTAACTCTGGTCTGTTTTAAAAGGCATGAACTACAATGTTCCTGTTTTCTTAACTTTCTGTATTCTTACATAGTAAAATTTATCTTGGTTATAGGATTTTAAAGTTATCAAATTCTTAGACAACAGGACAAATTTAAAACTCCTTCTGTTCTAACACTATAAAATAGTTTGACGTTGCCTCTTCATTCTAAGCACCCACTGAAGTATTTTTTAAACATAAAAATATGTTGTTCTTTCCCCCACTCAGGCTTGAAAAAGTATTCATCATATCAGCTAAATAATTTCAATCCCAGAAGACTACTACCCGTTTAGTTTTCTGTTTTAACATTAAACATTATCTTTTTTCAAACAGATACCTCAGTTTTATAAGCACTGAGGTTTGAAGTTCAGACATGATGACTTTTAGGAGAAACAACAGAGCTTCCCCCTCTGCTTTAACATTCTGGGTTTATCTGGAGATTAAAAAATGGAGCCATTCATTTTGATAGCACAAATATACATTAATGTACACCTATAGTCCTCAGCTCTTTATAATGATTCGGCTATCATGTATGCCATACGTGAGTCATAACTTTTTCTATTAATAATGTTAATGCTCTTTGTTTTACACTATTCGTCATTGCTTTGGGGGATGCATTTCAACTGCTAAAAATGCTTACTTGAGATTTGTCTAGGATTTAAGTAAAAATAAACTGGTTTATTACTTTTCAGAGCCTTTTAAATAATTTCTTCCATGATTTAAATTTTTTTATACTTTAAAAGAAGTATGATCATTTTTCTTTCAAATAAAATCAGTAAAAAAAAATTTAAACTATAGATTTGGACACACTTAGTAGCAATTAGGTGTTTAAGAGGTGTAAATAACTTGCTATCAGACATTACAAATATCCAGGTGCTCTGTATGTGCTGATGACAACAGAATTGAAAAGAAAGACTGTAATAATTCTGACTGGTTTTCTCTGCAGAAGATATTGATTATTTGTGTGTGGTGAGAGATTTGGAAAATTCAATTAAAGGAGTTGTGCAAAGGTTTCATAAATTTTCCTTCTACAGCGTGTACACAGACATTGTTGCGTATTAAATCAATGCAGCACTTCACAATATATTTTCTTTGAAACATAAAAATAAATAACATTTAAACAGTTCTGCTTACTACAGAAACAAATTTTATTTTCTGTGAAGCATTTAGTCATGTGCTATCACTGACTCATACACATTTGCCAGCTGTAACAAATTTTATAGACATTTTCCCCAGAGACATATCTCACATACTATGAATTTTTAAATGAGCAAATGGTGAAGAAGGGATGTCAGCAATATAAAAATTGATCAGTTAAAAGATAAAAGCATAAGTAAAGAGATTTGTATGGTAGTCTTAATAGGTTTTATTAAATAAAAATACTATAAAAAGACAGTAATGAATAGACTGAAGACTGTTCTTGAGGTGGAGAAAAATTATTCTGGCACATTTAGTAGAAATTGGTTTTATGTCACCTGACAGGTGAACTTTTTTTCCCATTTTTAATTCAGAGTAGTCAAAAAAGCCCCACAAAAAAGAGTTACATAAATTATCTAAGTGGTTTACATATTTTAAACACAATAAAGCAAATGTTTATCATATTATATAACTAGTTATATAGTTAAAAGCAGGACTTGGTAATTATTAAATATTAGGTAGTTTTTCCTCCAGCTCAGACCTCCTCAGATAAAAGGAGGGTAGTCACTTTTATTCATACTATTCGCATCAGGTCTTCAGCCCTCTGGAACCTCTCTTTGAGGACTCCAGAACACTGTTATTTTTCCCTCTACCTAGATTGCTTGCTTCTCTGTCTAGCAAACTCCTGCTCGTCCTTTAAGGTCAGCCTCAGATGTCACATCCTCTGTGAAGCTCTCCCCAGCTCTCCTAGGTAAAGCTAAATTTTAGCTTCATCTTCTACGCTCCCACAACACTTGTCTGAATATTTTAAATGTTTCATGTTGTAATGTAATGTGTTGTAATTGTCTGGTTACAGGATCTTTCTGGGCTCCTCTTTAGCAAACAGAAAGTCTTATCTGTCTAGTACAGCGCCTGCATAGAAGGTCCACGTGCAGTGCAGCCAATGTGTGAATGAACAAAAAGAATGTTTAAAAAGAATTCTCTAAGTATTTTCAAATACTTTTAAATTGCTGTTTTCTTACTTCATTAATGTTTATTGAGTGCCTACCATGCTCCAGGCATTATTCTAGCATTGGGAACACACTGACAAACAAGGCAGACATAGTCCTGCCCTCAGGAGTATAGAATCTAGCACAAATGACAAGTAATTTTAGTAACCACAAAGAGTATACTAACAATGGTAACAAGCATATATTGTAATAAATGTCTTAGAGGTTTTCATAATAAATATGAAAACTTCTGAAATAGAGTCAGGCTAACTGTAGGATGTTGAAATGAGAATTTATAGCCTCAGTGCGGCTAGTTTTTAATGTAAAACAATACTTTAGGTTGTTTTAATTTCATTTTGATTCAACATTTATTCTGCATCGTATACTGTGGCAAGTTACTTTGAACTGTTTTCTGAAGAAAAAATCTTTCTTCTTTTCTATAGAATCATGTCATCTTGACAGCTATGAATTCCTTAAAGCCATTTTAAACTGAGGTACTGTTTCACCTTTCTAATTTAGTTTAAGGTTGTGAAATTTCACTGTGTTCTGTTTAAGTGGGAACATTTTATTTACATAAATCAGATTTGGTATTGTCTTTCTGTAAGAAAACAGGGATATGAGTTTTGGAGCTTTAGTTGAAATTATATTAATCTCATCTTATAAACAACAGGAGGGCAGTCTGACATCTGTTAGAGGGTAATTGGAAAAGAACTGTTGAGCTGATGAGGCTAACTTTAAAAGTCAGAGAGGACACATTGTTAACTGAGTATAAAAGGGTCCTTAATCGAGCACCTTTCACCTAAATAGCTAAATAGAGTAGCTAAATAGATGTTCACAAGTAGATTAGTTTCTGTAGAACACATCTGACTGAAGAAGATATAATCAGTCTGTTAAATTTGGAAATATGCTAAATTGAGTAAATCATTATATATTAATTTGTTATACCTTGCCTTTAGAACAGTTCGTATTGATTCAGCAATGCAAGTAAAAATAATATGTTTACAAATAGTTTATTATAGCATATAAGCTAAAAGCAATATAAGTCATGATATATTAGTGTTTAGTGTACCTGTAACTGAAGGTTCACATTAAGAACTGGCATTAGGGGCTAGGCACAGTGATTGATGCCTATAATCCCAGCACTGTGAGAGGCCAAGATGAGAGAATCACTTGATCCCAGGACCAACCTAGGCAACATAGTGAGAGACCTTGTCTCTACAAAAAATAGAAAAGTTAGCTGGGTGTGGTGGCACATGCCTATAGTCCCAGCTACTCAGGAGGCTGACTTGGGAGGATCACTTGAGTCCACATGGTAGAGGCTGTAGTGAGATATGATCGCTGACCTCCAGCCTGGGTGACAGAGTGAGACCCTGTCCAGAGGAAAAAAAAAAAAGAATTCTTAGCTTACCAGGTATGCTACCTGCTATCTCTTAGGGAAAAAAATTAAAGCACAATTAAATAATTATATATTTGGAAATGGTATCTCAAGTGATTAATATTAGCTTCCTGACAAGCTAGTCTTAATATGTGCAAAGCACCTTATATAGAAAATTATGTCACAGATTTTTATGAAAATGTTTATTCTGTTTTATGCAGTAAACAATAGCTTATGCTCTGTTGTTTACAGTAAATAATAGCTTATAATAGTTAATATTTATTGAGTACTTTCTTTTGTTTTATTTTTTGGGAATTTTTTTTGAGGCAGTGTCTCACTCTGTCACCCAGGCTGGAGTGCAGTGGCATGATCTCGGCTCACTACAGCCTCCGCCTCCCAGGTTCAAGTGATTCTCCTGCCTCATCCTTCCGAGTAGCTGGGATTACCGGTGAGTACCACCATGCCCAGCTAATTGTTTGTATTTTTAGTAGAGATGGGGTTTCACCATGTTGTCCAGGCTAGTCTTGAACTCCTAACCTCAAGTGAACCACTTGTCTTGGCCTCCCAAAGTGCTGGGATTACAGACGTGAGCTACCGCGCCTGGCCTTATTGAGTACTTTCTATGTGCCAGCAGTGTTATAAGCACTTTATACGTATCCCATTTAATCTTCACAACAACTTGTGAGGTAGATACAGTTATTTTATTTTATAGGTGAGGCAATTGAGGCACAAATGAGGTTAAGTACCTTGTCCCAGAATCACCTTCAACAGGGCTGGGATATTAAACCGAATAGTCTGCTGCCAAGGCCTATGCTCTTGCCACTACCCAGTAGTAATCTATGAATGTCAGGCTTCACTACTGGCCAAGGATTTTATATCCTATTAAGGATAATATATACATATTATCTTTACATATCCTGTATGTCATAGGAGATAAATATATATGTATACATATATATATCCATCCACATACACCTATATTCGTTCATTATAAGGTTAACATTTTATAAAATTTCTGACCCATGAAAATCCAACAGATAACATATTAGATGGTGATCATAGATACGGCTTCACAGTTACACATTTAGTAAATGAACATGCACATTTAGTGTTTGATAGTCTCCTTAATAAACTTACAGGGAATTCGGAGTACTGAGAATAGCTTTGTGTTAATGGATTTTAGTAAAGATAACCACGCTTTGGGGTGTTCTTTTGAGTTTCTTTTCAAGAAACTTGAAAGAATCAAGAGTTGAGCTACCAATCAACTTCCCTTTCAGTGAGAAGCAAAAGAAAAATGACAATGAAATTAAGTGACTTCACCTTTGAGGCATCTGCGTCAGTTCTGCTTTTGACCATGTTTTCTTCTCACTTTGCGCATTTTCTTCATTATATCCTTCATTCCCTGACTTTTCACCTTAGTGTATATGGTTTCCAAATTATTTGTGACCTCTCTCCTGGACTATAAACCCACAATGTCAGCTCCCATACAATGTCCCCCAAGTATACTGGTTTCATCATTTCCCCTTCAAAGCTGCTTTTCCTTCTCCTTTTAGGGATTATATCATTCCACTGGTCAAATTCTCTTTTTGTCCCCACATCCAAATGCTGCCAGATTATATTACTTCTGAGAATGCTTAATTATCCTTTCCACACGCACTGGACCAGTTTATTCCTTTATTACCTCTCTTCCAAATATCCTTGTCTTTATTGTAACTTACCTGGCTGCCCTTAGGTCTCTTTCCCCTACAGCCTGTCCTGCTACTGGACAAATGTATGCTTTAGAAGATATTACTCTACTGTATGTACAATAAAATCCACATTTAAACTGACATTCAGGGATTTCCCTGATCTGCCTACAGCTTGCCTTTCCAGTTTCTTCATGGTGCCTCATTCACTCTATTACTTGCCATTTCCCAGACACCTTCCCTCCTCCAGAAAGTGCCTGTCTCATGTCCTTACCTTTGGTCTTGTCTGCTCTGCCTAGCATGCCTTTGCTCTCATTTTTGCCAAAATTGTATCCATCTTTCAAAACCTGCTTAGAACTCAACTTCTACGTAAGCTTCCCCAAATTTCTTTCCCCATATTTTCTCATTGCTCTTTTGTGTATTTGCCATAGCTGCCTGACTGGTATGCATAAGGGAGGATGTGAATGAAATTCCCAATTTTGTCCCTTTGCTCTAGAAACCTAACATATAGTACTCCTGATACCACTGTGGCCAAATTCCCTGCCTGCACAACAGCTCCAGGCCTCTGTCACACTTGGTGATTATTCCTCTTGACCTGTAATTGTTCAGTGGGGAGGACTGTCCCATACAAATTCACTCCCAGAGCCTTTAAAAAGTGAAGCCTTTATGAAACAATGCTAGAATTAAGAGAGAAAGTTAGGGTGACAGCAACCCAGAGGCCACAGCCAGAGTGCTAAGACCATCAAAAGAAGGGAAGAGAAAAACATTTTGGCTAATGTTAACAGGGGATACTGGGATATTTTAGTAACAATGTGGATGAATCACTTGGGTAACAAGGATGAGACTTAGTATGGACAAAGCACTGTGTATAATGACAGTTTGAAACCTAATAAGGACACAAGAACAAGGCAAGTTATGATAAATGATACAAGTTCAGACTCTTCTGTCCGGTAACAAGTACAAACAAGGATTGTGAATCCAATGAGGATCAAAGTATCAACTTGATTGATGATGGAATTGATAACCCCCAACATGGCAAGCTCCGAGGTAGAAGCTTGGGGTAACTAAGGTAGATTGCCTTAAAGCAGAAATGCACTCTTCTTTCTCACAGTAAGTAAATCTTGAACTCTGTGCACTTTCCTGAACCTAAAATCTGGATCTTTGAAAGACCCCCAAGTCCATGTGGCTTTAATGCTGTGAAGATCACAGGCCTGCCTTTTACATGCTTGATGGCAGGACAGCACAATAGAATGTGTTGGTCTCCCTACTACATGAAATTAGGAAGTATAATAATAATAATAGGCCGGGCGCAGTGGCTCAGTCTGTAATCCCAGCACTTTGGGAGGCCGAGGCGGGTGGATCACGAGGTCAAGAGATCGAGACCATCCCGGTCAACATGGTGAAACCCCGTCTCTACTAAAAATACAAAAAATGAGCTGGGCATGGTGGCATGTGCCTGTAATCCCAGCTACTCAGGAGGCTGAGGCAGGAGAATTGCCTGAACCCAGGAGGCGGAGTTTGCGGTGAGCCGAGATCGCGCCATTGCACTCCAGCCTGGGGTAACAAGAGTGAAACTCTGTCTCAAAAATAAAAATAAAAATAAAAATAAAAATAATAATAATGATAATAAAGGTCCACTGGGATTGAGTAGACAGTGATAGGGAAACTACAAGAAGGGAAAAATTTGTGTAATGTTACTAGTAAAATGTAGACCAATGAATGTTCTGGACTTTGACCAATCAAATTCATCACACTTCATGGAATGAGAGGAAGAGTTGACAGACGTTTCTTCCCCTTCAGACTGAGAAATATAAACATTCCTCTCTACAGTAAGTACCAAATGAAGAATAAGCAGTGTTATGGGAATTCACAGCAGACATAGATCACCTCAAGATGGGATTATCAGTTTTTTTTTCAAGAGAGGCTCTTGTTCTGTCACCGTGGCTGGAATTCAATGCTGCGATCATAGCTACTGCATCCTTGACCTTCTGGGCTCAAGCAGTCCTTCTGCCTTGGCCTCCCAAACGCTAGGATTACAGGCATGAGCCACCACTCCCAGCCTTATTATGTCATTTGTAAAGATCTTTTCCCACATGCCCTATGGTAATGTATGCCATCAGTTGCCAATGACTGCTTTCTTCAAAGGCTTTCTCTCACGGGAGAGTCCTAAGCCTGAAAAGACATGAGCCTCTGTCACCACTAGGAGTCCCCAGAGGGACATATTCTGAATAGGAATCTGTCATAGTAAACATTGTCTTTTGGGGGGGGGGGGGCAGCTGTTGGAGGAAACACCTGCTGAAAGGCCCCTAGGCTTATAGAAAAGGCATGTAAATTTGGTGTTTTCTGTAGGCCCTGTTGGAGTTTTAAAATTCTCTGAGGAGTCTCTCATGTAAGTATAGTCACATAAGGTAAAGAATACTGACTGCTATGTCAAAGTAGTCAAAAATAAGCAAATGAGGCTGGGCATAGTGGCTCACACCTGTAATCCCAGCACTTTGGGAGGCTAAAGCAGGCAGGTAATGAGCTCAGGAGTTCGAGACCAGCCTGGCCAACATAGTGAAACCCTGTCTCTACTAAAAATATAAAAATTAGCTGAGTGTGGTGGCATGCGCCTGTAGTCCCAGCTATTTGAGAGGCTGAGGCAGAAGAATTGCTTGAACCTGGGAGGCAAAGGCTGCAGTGAGCCGAGACCATGCCATTGCACTCCAGCCTGGGTGACAGAGTAAGACTCCATCTCAAACAAAATAATAAGCAAATGAGAGATTGCCAGCATCTAACTAAACTAGGTACCAAATTAGATTATTAATGGATGTTAAAATCATTTCTTAAGTCATGTATGAGATGCATGTTAACTAATTTTTGATAACATAATTATCTTTTATATTCCACAGGCATTTAGAAGAAATGCACTCACCATAAGCATCAACTTCTGCATCTGCCTGATCATATTTAAAGGAACAGAGAAATATTTGTAATTAATCTGCCCAGTAAATACCAGCTTGTAGCAGTCGGCAGGTGCACGTCTAGATAAAATTTCTTGCAGCTAATTTAAACTTTCTACACACACCAGTAGATAATCTCAATGTAAATAATACATTTCTTCTTGACTCTTTAAGCCAACATGGAGAGGAGGATCTTGACTTATATTCTGTAGCACATACATTTCTGTGGACTTCTAGCACTTGTGGGCAGACTTAATAATAAAGCATGTATAAAAATGGCATCTTTGGTAGAGCTATATATTTTTCTGAAATGCAGATTAAATATAATGGTGAGTGGAATTAAGTACCAGTTTTCCCATTTAAAGCCTCAGCTGCTTATTAATTTATAGATTCCTAAAAAAATTTTTTTAAAATTTATCTAGTCTGTTGTGTAGCCACTACCTCAGAAGTGAGTTTTTATTTTCCTATGCTTGTAGAGAAAAAAACATTTTCAAGGTTTTAAAATGTCAATACCATTTATAAAATATTAGAATGTATTTTTCAGTACAAATGTTTTTTGTTTGTTTTTTGTTTGTTTTTTTTTTGAGACGGAGTTTTGCTCTTGTTACCCAGGCTGGAGTGCAATGGCGCGATCTCGGCTCACCGCAACCTCCGCCTCCTGGGTTCAGGCAATTCTCCTGCCTCAGCCTCCTGAGTAGCTGGGATTACAGGCACGCGCCACCATGCCCAGCTAATTTTTTGTATTTTTAGTAGAGACGGGGTTTCACCTTGTTGACCAGGATGGTCTCGATCTCTCGACCTCGTGATCCACCCGCCTCGGCCTCCCAAAGTGCTGGGATTACAGGCTTGAGCCACCGCGCCCGGCCAAATGTTTTAAATATGAAGTTTTTTTAAACTAAACCACACAGACTACTGAATTTAAGGAAAAGACCTTTATTGAGGGCAATATGTGATCCCTTCTAAATTTTGAAATATTAAATTTCAATTCTTCTGTGGTGTTTTCTGTCGCCATCATGTTTTTATTGTCACTCCCAAAATAAAGGGGTGAAGGGAATCAAAGAGTATGTTATCTTGACAATGAAACCTATGCTTTTCTTGACCATTTCTGTAGGGAAAAACTGTTATTCCTTTGGTACTTGCCCGAAGTTTTAGCAAAATTAGTAGAAAATATTACGATGTCATTTGAGTATATCATGAAAATAAAAACTACATGGAAATCTGAAACAAAATTTAACAAATTAAGGTCAAAAACAAGTCATTTTCCACTGTGTGCAATGGTACAAGCCTTTAATCCCAGCTACTACTCAAGAGGCTGAAACAGGAGGATTGCTTGAGCTCAGGAGTTTAAGACCAGACTAGGCAACACAGCAAGACACCTATCTCAGAAAAACAAAACAAAACAAAACAAAAAAAACTTACTTTCCACTTAGAGAAATTTTAGATTCACCTTTTTAAAATGAAAGGTTTTTTAATAAAAATATATAAATTACCTTCATTATTTTCTTCATACTGCTTAAATAAGAAATTCTGATACAGTGCTTCTAATAGGATGTTACCCAAAAAAGGATTATTCTAGCATTGAAAACTAACCTTAGGTTGTAAGCCAAAACGTTTTATGAAGTAACTTATGTTGGGTAATACAGGGTTAAGAAATAGGTTGGTTTCATATATAATCCAAGTTATATAGGTATGTGCTTAATGCTATTAGACCAGTTACTGTATGTTTGACCTCTTGATATACTAAGCTTTTGCCTTTCAGAACAGCTGGGTCTGCTGAGAATCATTTCCCAGTTCTTTTCATTGTAGATCAGATGACTCTCACTTTATCACCCTTGGAGGCCACATGAAGGACAAAGCAGAAAGATCCACACACAAAACTAATGTTTATACGGGGGGAGGGAGAGTTGCAGGGGATATACTTGGCCCTGATCTTCCAATGAACATAACAGAATTGAGACTTGAAACCATTGTGTTACTTTAACCATTATTTAGTTATATCCTATCCATCTTTTTCTTTCTGTTGAACAGAGAGGCTTCTTTGGCTGCCTTGACTTTTGTAAATGTTTCACTCAATTTGTTGTGGTTTATCATTTGGACAGAATGCAACATCGGGGATTTTTCTACCCTCCCTAAGTCCTCAAGAGAAAATGACTTCTGTATGCCTCATATATGATACATAGACATATACCCTATTCTCTTCATTTTAAGAAGCAAACCTATTTTAGAAGCTTAAGATAGAATCTTGGGGGGAAGAAAAGAAGCAAACCTAAGTTTATTGGCAGGTGAGAAAACTGCATTTCTCAGAAATGCCTCCTCCATCTAAAATGTACTTGAACATTGAAGGGCTTATTTTTTGACAGGTATATTAGTGAAGAAAGTGAGAAATCTATCTTTAATATTTTTTGCATAACCAAAATATATATTAAAACATCCCCATAACCCTGAGTTTAAAAGAAATGCTTTGGAATTGCCTACTTCTGTGATTATAATTCATCACTGGATTTTTTGATATTTTGCCTTTTTTGAGATGGTGTCTCACTGGTCTCAAGTGATCATCCTGCCTCACCCTCTCAAACAAACAGCTGTGATGACAGGCCACTGTGCCTGGCCTCTCTTTTTGGTATTTTGGAACCTAATCCCTCTAAGTTCAATGTAAACTCTTAAACTCGTTTGTGATAGATATGAGGGATACTTACAACTGCTGCAAGTCCCTATAAAAACTACAGTGTAACTCAATATGATTAGATTAAATCATCTGAAAAAGTTGTTTTATTTACAGAATTTACCTATATGCCTTGAATCAGGTGCATTTCATTTTACTGATATATATACATAATACTTTTATTTCCAAATACTATTCTCCAGTTATTTATAAGTTGTAACTTAAAATCTCCTCATCATTTATTTAAGTCAACATTCTATGTTAAATACAAGTATACTATTACAAAAAATATCTTTTAAAATAAAGCTACACCAGCCAGCCAAGATACTGACATTTGGGCACAGTGATTACAGATGGTGACCGTGGACAGCGATGTTCCTGCTGATTCGGCAGTGATTCAAGGCTGCTTTTCTGCGCTGACCTGCCCCTTGAGTCTTAATGCACATTTGCTTTGAGAAAGAAATCCTTCTAGATTTTTGCTTTGTCTAAACTCACTTTCTTTATCAGACTTAGAAACACATACCTTCTTATATCAGCCTGTGACTGTCCCTGTCTAGAACCAGTTTGTGTGTGTGTGTGTGTGTGTGTGTGTGTGTGTGTGTGTGTGTGTGGTTTGACTTGCATGATTTAAAAATATACCACCACTTAATATGGTTTAATGGCTATCTTATGAAAGAAATATATTCCTTAAAAAATGTTGATGGGAAAATGATTGATTTATCTTTATTAGAGAGACTAAAAAAAATCTTTATAGGAGAAACTACAACATGGATATCATGCATTAGTTTTACCAGTTGAATGCTATAATAGATATGGGCTTCTGCTAATACAGGGTGATACAGTATTAATGGATGAAATTAACATGAATCAATGCTCTGGCAATGGTAACTCTGAACCATGTCATACCAACAACTACTATATATATATGCTTATATATATATAAGCATATATATATAATGTTAAACAGAATGATTCTGGAAGTTTAGAACTAATGATGGGTATAATTAAAAAGACTTCACTCAAACCACATAGAGTTAAAACTTACATTTAAATTCAGGAAAATTCTTTTTTTTTGAGACGGAGTTTCGCTCTCGTTACCCAGGCTGGAGTGCAATGGCGCGATCTCGGCTCACCGCAACCTCCGCCTCCTGGGTTCAGGCAATTCTCCTGCCTCAGCCTCCTGAGTAGCTGGGATTACAGGCACGTGCCACCATGCCCAGCTAATTTTTTGTATTTTATTAGAGACGGGGTTTTACCATGTTGACTAGGATGGTCTCGATCTCTTGACCTCGTGATCCACCCGCCTCGGCCTCCCAAAGTGCTGGGATTACAGGCTTGAGCCACCGTGCCCGGCCCCTCCTTTTTAATTGTAAAGTTAATCTTCATTCTTGGAAATAAATAAAATCATGGTTTAACTTATTTGCCTTGTTAAAAAAATCAAATTTGCATGTGTAATAAAGCATATTCAAACTTCAAACAGTTTAAATTGCCTTCTAAGTAATTAAAAAGATTATCACAAATTCCCTAAGGTATAATTTCTAAACAGTGAAATACACACTACTTGCATTCTAAAATGTAAGAAAAACTAAGTTTGAATACCAAAATTAGTGATTTCCATTAAAAAGAAGGGGCTCAATTCTCCCATTAAGCTTACTATATGGTCTGATAAAGGAACTAGGTTTAGACAAAGCAAATATGAAGAAATATTTCTTTCTCAATTTTTTCAAGACATTTATAAAGTGCATTTCCTAAGTAAACACTGGCATTAAGGACATTTTTCTCTTTTTTCCGCACTTGAATAGCTGTGAGTATTGATAAAACCACAATATGTTTTGGCCAAGCAATACTTAGACAAGCCTCCATTGATCTTTGATCTCCATATACATTTATTTTGTGTAGACAACAATGACTTTTCACTGTTTCCTGTAGTTCCATGGTTTTCTCAAAATGGTAATTTTAGGTAATTTTCCTTATACAAAGCAGAAAGTTCACAAAACCTTTTAGCACTGTTCATATTTTCACAATTGTTTAAGAATACAGCTAGCTGATTTTCTTCTGATTTCTTCCGTTTTTGGAATCCCACATGATTATAATGTTAAAGTATACCAAGAAGAACAGGAAGTTCAAGCAAGATACAAAACACACCAATACAGAAAATAAGTCCGGTAGTTTCTGAGGAGGATCCAGTGTGACAGTCATCAGCGTCAGAAGCACCATAGTGATTACTGAAATAAGAAACTGCAAGGGAAAAATGGATTACTGAATAGTATAAAAGGTGAACACTGATGACTTATAGCTATCAAATGAGCAGAATTAAAGGTGAGGGTTGAGGGTCCAGTTTCTTTTACTGGTGTATCTCAACTTTGACTTCCTATTAGAATCATATGAGGGGTTTTTAAAATCTCAATGCCCATGTCACACCCAGAACAATTAAATCACAATCTCTAGAGTAGGCCTCAGTACTTTTTTAAGCCCTCCAAGGGATTCCCATGTGTAACTAAAACCTGAGGACCCCTGTCTTATGCTTCTTACCACCCAGGCACTGAAGAAAGGTATCTGGGATAGATGTTAATGCTAGTCAGTTAAATTTATAGCATCGCCTGGGGCCCTACAGGATATAAAATTCTAAGCTAATGGGTACAAATATACAGGTAGATAGAGGAAATAAAACCTGTTCGGCAGATCAGCAGGGTGACTATAGTTAACATTAATGTACATTTCAAAATAGCTAGAAAATAATAAGTTGAATGTTCCTAGCATAAATACATATTTTTAAGGTAATGGATAGCCCAGTTGCCCTGATTTGATTCTCACACATTACATGAATGTATGAAATTATCACATGTACTTCCAAAATATATATATATATCTAGTCTGTGTCAATTTTTTAAATTCTAAGCTAATTCTGAGAACCCATCTGTGAAAAAGTTTTCCATGGCAAATGGAAAATTATATTTCATATTCACTAAATTCCCTCAATGAGTAAAGCATAGTAGGGCATATGAAAGAAAATGTGGTCCTCTGGCCTCAAAGAGTTTTCCACCTACGTAGGAGAATGTTAACTAAAATCGCAAAGTCAGACTGGCTTAAATACCAAGATGAGTAGTCAAAATAATTAGCACATTTATTGTAGTTGTGTGGTCATCAGTTAGTGTGGTCTTCTTGAGGCCAATGTGCTATACAATAGAACTTCCTGCAGTAATGAAAATGTGTTATGTCTGCAATCCAGTTAGTAGCTGCTAACCACATGTGACTATTGGGCATTTGAATTGTGTACTGCAACTGAGGAACTGAATTTTTATTTAAATTTAATATGTTAAAATTTCTATATGTGTCTAGTGGCTACTGTACTGGACAGACCGTAGCTCTAGACTGAACTCCTTTAAGACAAAGACTAGCAAAATCTTACGGATTTTATCCCCAGCACAGTATGTGGGTATACAAAGGCTGTATAAGTAAATGTAGAAAGCAAGCAGTGAGAAACAGTAGTGACTTCCATGTAGGATGTGGGGTACAGATGGAACCCTAAAGGATGCCTTAATTGCTGGCTACCTTACGACAGTATTGGTAAGATCTAAATAGAGAGTAATGCAGTGATCATTCCAAATGGAAAAGCGAGGATAGGCACCAAGAAAGCTTACAAGCAGATAAAAACAAAGGCTACCAGGACTGCTAAAGGAAAATTTCCTGAGGCAACCTTAGGGGAAACTGCAAACATCGGCAATGAAATTTTCAAAATAAAAGTTTCAAACTTAAGAAATATGGGACTGGTTGAAATGTCATAATACTGTGATCTTGAATCAGTGTTAAATAGGCATGAAATAGAAATTTCTCCCATTTTAAACAAAAACCCTCTCTTGCTCCAACTATTAACCCATTTGTCTGCTCCGCTTTACACTCATTTCCCAAAACAGTTGCCTATAAACATGCTGTGTCCAGTCTTTGTCCCATTCACTAGTGAACCCATACCAGTTAGGCTTTCACCCCAGTCACCATGAAACTGCTATGGACAAATATCCATAATGACCTCCAGTGTACTAAATGCAATGGTCAATTCTTACTGCCTTACTTGATTCTCTCATTAGCATTTGAAATCCCTCCCCTCTCACTGAAACACTTCCTTCACTTGGCTTCCATGACATCATACTCACCTGGTTCTCTCCTATCTCATCCAGTGAATTCTTAGACATCTTTGTTGGTTCCTCATGTCCCCTACCTCTGCATTTTGGGGCTTAGTACTTACTCCTCTTACTAATCTATACTCATACCCTTAGTGAGTCATCCAGTAGCATGAGTTTAATTACCAACTATATGTAAAGACTCAACTTTGTCTCCAGCTTGGTCCTTTCCCCTAAACCAGGGTTATCTGATCTTTTGACTTCCCTGGGCTACAATGGAAAAAGAATTGTCTTGGACCACCCATAAAATACACTAACAATAGCTGATGAGCTTTAAAAAAAAATTGCACAAAACCTCTATGTTTTAAGAAAGCTGTATCGGGCTGCATTCAAAGCTGTCCTTAACTGCAGGTTAGATAAGCTTTCACTGAACTCTCGACTCATCTACCCAGGTGCTCTTTACTATCTCTACTTGGATATGTGCTAGACATCTAAAACTAAACGTAAATAAAAAAATAAACTATTGATCTCCCCAAACTACACACTGCCCCCACCACACACAAAAGTTCCTTCAACATGCTTCCTTCCACTCGCTAAATGGCCGCGCCACCCATTCCGTTATTTATACTAAAAACCTTGCAATCATCCTGAATACCTCTCTTTCACAACCCCAGCAATTCCAGTTGGCTCTACCTTGAAAATATATCCAAAATCTGACCAGTTCTAACCACTTCCACTGCTACCCTGGTCCACAGCACCATCATCTCTCATGGATTCCATTATCCACAATCTGTTCTCCACATAGCTGCCAAATGGACCTTTTAAAAATGTAAGTCAGGGCCAGATGTGGTGGTTCATGCCTGTAATCCCAGTACTTTGTGAGGCTAACGCAGGCGGATCATGAGGTCAGGAGATCGAGACCATCCTGCCCAACATGGTGAAACCCTGTCTACTAAAATATAAAAAATTAGCCGGGCATGGTGGCACACGCAAATAATCTCAGCTACTTGGGAGACTGAGGCAGAGGAATTGCTTGAACCTGGGAGGCAGAGGTTGCAGTGAGCCAAGATTGTGCGATTGCACTCCAGTCTGGCAACAGAGCAAGACCCCGTCTCAAAACACACACACACACACACACACACACACCCCACACACAGTGTAAGTCAGATTCTAGTCCCATTATGGGAAACTATTAGCTCTCTAATCTTTGGTCCTATTATTTCTTTCCCTCACCCAGCTACAATCATCATGACCTCCATGATGTTCACTGCATTTGCAGTTTTCTCTTCCAGGATGTTCTACCCTCAATTATCTACACAGTTTACTCCGTTACTTCCTTTGGTTTTTTGCTCAAGAAAGCCCTACCACTTTAAAATTGCATTAATCCCCGCACCCCTCCCGCCCAGATATCATATCCATTTCTCCCTTGCTTTGTTGTTCTCTATAGCACTTATCACCCTCTGACATGCTATGTATTTTACATATGCTGATGTCGGATTTCTCCACTAGAATGCGACCTCCATGAGAACAAGAATTTCTGTTAGTTTTGGTCACTGCTGTACCCTCAACCTCCAGAACAATGCTTGGCATACAGTAAGTGCTCAAAAACTATTTATTAAAGAACAAATAAACCTGGTGGTCCTCACCTTAAGATCACTGGACCAGATTGTGAATATCACAATAGGGCTAGAGTCTGACATACACTCAGGAATCTGGGCTTGTGCTAACAAAAAATGAACTTTATATCCACTTTCCATTTGAACCCCTGAGTAAAGTTAATCCTTACCTTGTCTTTCCTGTTCACTGCTTAACTTCCTGCCTCCCACACCCCCATCCTCCATGGTAATTATCTAAAGTGCAAAACCCTCAGGATACCCATTCAACTCTGCCCTGAAGATACCTGCCTTGTCTTCCTACAAGATCTAAATATGAAATATCTCCTTTGAAACCTTCCCCTACACTCCCCTAGTAAAGTTAGTCATTCTTTCTTTGTTTTCTGGGTACTTTGGGCAATCCTCTATGTAGTCCCCCAAAATGTAAATAAGTATAGCCTGTTGGGCCAGGCACAGTGGCTCATGCCTGTAATCGCAACACTTTGAGAGGCCAAGGCGGGCAGATCACAAGGTCAGGAGTTTGAGACCAGCCTGGCCAACATGGTGAAATCCCATCTCTATTAAAAATACAAAAATTAGCTGGGCATGGTAGGCATGCCTATAGTCCAGCTACTCGGGAGGCTGAGGCAGGAGAATCGCTTGAACCCGGGAAGCGGAGTTTGCAGTGAGCCAAAATCACGCCATTGCACTCCAGCCTGGGTGACAGAGTGGGATTCCATCTCAAAAAATAAGTAAGTATAACCTGTTATTTCCACCATGAAAGTGTAGTCTGCATAAGACGACTGGAAAAATAAAAGGCCTGACACATTCTGATTGCCTACTGTATATCAGGCATGGAATTCCTATTTTAATAGGCATGTTTATTGATTTATTCTACAGTTATAAAACATGTTTAAGAAATTAGAGCATAGTGCCTCACACCTCTAATGCACTTCGGGAAGCTGAGGTGCAAGGGTTAGGGTGCAAGGATCGTTTGAGGCCAGGAGTTTGACAGCAGCCTGGACAACAGAGCGAGACCCTGTCTCTACAAAGAATTTTAAAATTAGGCAAGCATGATGCTGTGTGCCTATAATCCTAGCTACTCAGGAGGCTGAGGAAGGAGGATCACTTGGGCCCAGCAGTTCTAGGTTGCAGTGAGCTTTAAATGCACCACTGCACTCCAGCCTAGGCAACAGAGTAAGACCATCTCAAAACAACAAAAAGTTCATAACATTTGTAATAGTTGCCAAATATTCCATGGAGCTTATATACTTATTCATGTATCATTTTTTACCTAATGGATAATTGAGCTGCCCCTAATTTTTCATTATAATAATTAGATGAATAGCCATTCATTCAACAAAAATCAGATCACCTATTCTTTACCAGGCACTGATAGATGCTACAGATAAAATGGTATGTATAAAATGCAGAGTTCTTGCCCTCAAATAGACTGCAATCTAGCATATTAGACAGCCTTGAAAAAAATGTGATATCCCTTAAATATATGAACTTTATAAGTAGACAAAGACATCACATGAAAACTACATATTAGTATCTCTTATGAATATATATGCAAAAATCATCAAGAAAATATTGGCAAACTGAAGCCAGTGGAAGATAAAAAGAATTATACACCATGATCCAGTAGGATTTATCCCAAGAATTCAAGATTAATTCAACATACAAAAATCAATCAATGAAATGTATCATATTAATAAAATAAAGAGGGGAAAAAAACAACACATGATCAAAGATGCAAAAAAGAATTATAATCCAACATTTTTTCATGATAAAATCATGTAAACTAGGAATTAAAGAGAAACTTCCTGAACCAGATAAAGGCCATCTATTTTTAAAAGCCCACAGTTAACATCATAGTTAATGGTGACAGACCACATGCTTTCCCCCTAATACCAAGAAAATAGAAGATGTCCACTCTTGTTACTTGTATTAAACATTGTATTACAGGTCCTAGGGTAATTAGGCAAGTAAGAGAAATAAAAGATAAAAGTCATCCACATCAGAAAGAAAGATGTAAAACTCATGATTTGCAGATTACATTATCTTATATATATAGAAAACTGTAGGAAATCCATTAAAAACCTATGCCAAAGAACACAAGTTCAACATACAAAAATATTGTATTCAGATATAGTAGCATTGAACATTATGAAAATGAAATTAAGAAAACCAGTCCTTTACAATATTGTTATAAAGAATTATGCTTTATGATCATTCGTTATACTTAAGAGTAAATTTAATAAAAAGTCTAAAACTTATATACTGAAAACCACAAAACATTGTTGAAAGAAATTAAATATCTAAATAAATGGAAATGCATCTTGTGTTTGTTCACTGGAAGACTAAATATTAAGATGGCAATATTCATGATGAAACTCCATTTCTAAAAAAATTAGCCAAGTATGGTGGTACATGCCTATAGTCCCAGCTATTCAGGAGGCTGAGGTGGGAAGATTGCTTAAGCCTGGGAGACAGAGGTTGCACACCACTGCACTCCAACCTGGGCAACAGAGCAAGACCCTGTCTCAAAACAAAAACAAACAAACAAACAAACAAAAACCAGCTATATTCCACAAATTGATATGCACAATCAATTCAGTCCCTATCAAAATCTCAGCTGGGTTTTGGGAGAAAATGGATAAACTTCTAAAAATAATATGAAAATAAAGGGATGTAAAATAGATAAAACAATCTTATAAAAGAACAAAATCAGTGGACTCACATTTTCAATTTCAAAACTAACTACAAAGCTACAATAAAGAAGACGGTATGGCAGTGGTATAAGGATAGACATACAGATTAATGGAACAGAACTGAGAGTCCAAAAATAAACCCTTACATTTAAGAACAACTGATTTTCAACAAGAGTGCCAAGACAATTCAATGGAACTAAAATAACTGAATAAAGTCATACTCCTACTTTAAACCATATACAACATTAACTCAAAGTTGAATCAAAGGCATAGATATAAAAAATATTAAAACTCTTAGACAAAAATATGGAGGTAAATATTCATGACCATTGGTTGTACAATGGTTTCTTAGACATGACACCAAAAGTACAAGTAACAAAAGAAAAAAATAGATATACTGGATGTTATCAACATCGAAACTTTTGTACTGCAAATGATACCATCAAGAAAGTAAAAAGGCAACACGGAAGGGGAGAGAATACTTGCAAGTTAAATATCTGGTAAAGAACTCATATCAAGAATATATATTTAAAAACTCTTACAACTCATAAAAAGACAACCCAATTTAAAATGGGCAGAGGATTTGAATAGGCATTTCTCCAAAGAGAATATACAAATGGCCAATAAGCTCATGAAAAGATGTTCTACATCATTAGTCATTAGGGAAATGAAAATCAGAACTCCAATGAAATACCACTCATACCCACTAAGATGGTTATAATTAAATAGACAGCAAGTGCTGTCAAAGATGTGGAGAAATTAGAACACTCGCACATTGTTGGTGAGAATAAAGAATTGTGCTGTACTTTGGAAAACAGTTTGGGAGTTTCTGAAAATGTTAAACATAGAATTACCATATAACCTAGCAATTCTACTCCCAGGTATATACCTAAAAGAAATGAAAACATATGGGCACTCAATACTTTGTAAACAAATGTTCACAACAGCACTATTCATAACACTAAAAAAAAACAGCACTACTGATAATACTAAAAAAGTAGAAACAACTTAATGTCCATCAATTGATGAATGGATAAAGAAAATGTGCTATACCCATATAAGGGAATATAATTTGGTAATAAAAAGGAATAAACTACTGATATATGCTATAATATAAATGACCCTCAAAAATATGCTAAGTGAAAGAACCCAGTCATAAAATACCACAATTTTATTATCCCATGTTATGGACTGAATTAAAATTCATATGTTGAAGCCCTAACTCCCAGTGTGACTGTATATGGAGATAGAGCCTTTGGGGAGGTAAATAAGATTAAATGAGATGATTAAGAGTGGGGCCCTAATCCAATAGTACTGGAGTCCTTACAAGAAAGAGACAACAGAGATCTCTCTCCATGTATGATATACAAAGTAGAAACTTTCTACAAGCCAGGAAGAGAGGCCTCACAAGAAACCAACACTGAAGGTAGAACATTGATCTTGAACGTTTAATCTCCAGAACTCTAAGAAAATAAATTTCTGTTGCTTAAGCAACCCAGCTTGGTGTTTTGTTATGGCAGCCGTAGCAGACTAATACATTCCATTTGTATGAAATGTCAAAAGTACACAAATCTATAGAGGCAGAAACTAGACAGTGGCTGTCCAAGGAAGGGAGTTAGGAGTGAGAGTGGAATGGGGAATGAATGCTAATAGGTACAGAATTTCTTCTGGGAATGATAAAAATAATCAAAATTAGATGATGGTGATAGTTGTACAAATCTGTGTACATTCTTAAAACCACTAAGTTGTATAAATGGATGAATTTATGTGAACTATGTCTCAAAAGCTATAAAATAGATATTTCAATAACTTTTTAAAACAGTGGCATGCTGAAATATGTGCCATTTCTTAAAAACTGAACTTACCAAATATTGTATAATTCTAGAAAGAAATGTAAAACATGGAAGATATTTCCTCACAGAAATGGAAAAGGATTTCAACTGTAGTTCTTCTTCAGAAGTCTTTTCAAATATTGAAAAGGAAGTTACACAAGCTATAAAAAATGCCATTGTTGTCGCAACGGAGGGCATTAGGAGTTCATCCTTCAATAGAAGAGGTAGCATACTGTAAAGGAAAATTTTTAAAAATCAAAAGAGAATCATCAATTCAAACCATAACCACTTTGTAAAAAAGTTTTAAATTAGTTTACAAGAATCATACTGAAAATATATGGAAATTGGTATGACTTACCTAAATGTTGACACAAGTAAAAACCAAGTAGACATAAAAGGAATGTCACTTAAAACTAAGCAGACTGGTCTAAAATGGTAAAGAAAAAATATTTTAATATTATAGAATATAATTTCAACTCCTAATTGTAGAAACTCTAAACACATTTTATCTGTCTGATTTTCAGGGGTAGCTTAAAAAAAGCCAGGAAGGTCTTCACATGCACTACTGATTCTTTTCTTTTCTTTTCTTTTCTTTTTCTTTTTTTTTTTTGAGACGGAGTTTCGCTCTTGTTACCCAGGCTGGAGAGCAATGGCGCGATCTCGGCTCACCACAACCTCCACCTCCTGGGTTCAGGCAATTCTGCCTCAGCCTCCTGAATAGCTGGGATTACAGGCACGCGCCACCATGCCCAGCTAATTTTTTTGTATTTTTAGTAGAGACGGGGTTTCACCATGTTGACCAGGATGGTCTCGATCTCTTGACCTTGTGATCCACCTGCCTCGGCCTCCCAAAGTGCTGGGATTATAGACTTCAGCCACCGCGCCCAGCCCCGATTCATTTTTTTAAACAGTCTAGACTAAATTAGTCTAGACACAGGCACAGAGGTGTCAACTCCTCATAATAACTAGAATATTGCTGCTTCCAGTATGCCATTAATGGTACTTTTTTTCTCTATCATACAGACAAGTAGCTTTAAAAAAAGGATCAGGGGCCGGGCGCGGTAGCTCAAGCCTGTAATCTCAGCACTTTGGGAGGCCGAGGCGGGTGGATCACGAGGTCGAGAGATCGAGACCATCCTGGTCAACATGGTGAAACCCCGTCTCTACTAAAAATACAAAAAATTAGCTGGGCATGGTGGCGCGTGCCTGTAATCCCAGCTACTCAGGAGGCTGAGGCAGGAGAATTGCCTGAACTCAGGAGGCGGAGGTTGCGGTGAGCCGAGATCGCGCCATTGCACTCCAGCCTGGGTAACAAGAGCGAAACTCTGTCTCAAAAAAAAAAAAAAAAAAAAAAAAAAAAGGGTCAGATAAACAAATCGGAGAAGTCTTTGTCATATATTTTGTACTACTTGGTAAATACGAATTCCCAGTATTGTTGTTTTCAAACATCTCTTTTATGCTCTTTCATGTTACATATTACTCCACTAAGTTAAAACTAGAGTTGCAGACGAGATTGTCATGCCGCTGGAGAGGACAAGAGCGACAAGAGGATAAAGGAAAACAAATTGATAATAGTAAAATTAAAAGGAGGAAGAAATTAGTAGGAAGAGCTACATGAAAAGGGCAATAGTATAGGAACAGGAAGCACAATACCAATAACTGGAACCACAGGCTTTATCAAAGAGTTGTTTAGGGGCCAGGCACAGTGGCTCATGCCTGTAATCCCAGCACTTTGGTAGGCCAAGGAAGATAGATCATTTGAGGTCAAGAGTTCAAGACCAGCCTAGAGAACTTAACAAAATACCATCTCTACAAAAAAATTTAAAAATTAGCCTGGCATGGTGATGGATGCCTGGGGTACTAGTTACTTGGGAGGCTGAAGTGGGAGGCTCACTTGGGCCCAGGAGTCAGAGGCTGCAGTCAGCTATGACTGTGCTACTGTGCCTGAGTAACTGAGGAAGACTTTGTCTTTTAAAAAAACTTTTTACATATAAGCACTGATCTGAAAGGAATACAAAGATGATTATAACTCAGCTCCTAACTTCAAAGTACTTAAAATTCATCACCAAACAGCAAAATCCCCTACATCCTCAACCTTTTCTCTGAACCCCTCTCTTTACCACCTTGTTTGAAACAATGCCTGGATCTCTCCTCTGAAGACAATACTGCCTTCTGCCCTCTCAGCTGTGCCTATTTTTGTTGTTTCCACAGTCTTCAAGTGATTTGGCCTGGAGGTGGGAGGTAGCCTCCTTGATCTTCCTCACTACCTTCACACCAGTTCTCCCTCTCTCCACCCTAATAATCTCTAGCTTTGAATCTCTTGTTATCACGCTTTATCCCCTATTATTCCTCATCTTGTAATTACTGACCAACCAGAGGGTTGCTTCCCTCATGATCCAAAGATTTCAGCTCCTTTCTCATTATCACGCTCTACAAACCGACTTAATTACTGGCAATTTTGCTAGAATGCCTCTCTTCTAGTGACCTCATCTTTAATCCTCTCTCTTAGGATCATACTTTAGACTGCAGCTCCTCCATGATCAGTTCATGAACTGTACTCTCACCACTCTCTGGCCTTTTAGTCCAACTCCAACAATCTTTTGATTGTTCCTTTTCACTTTCCCTCATCCCTATGATGGCCTTTTCCCTTTTTACCTACCTTAAATTCTAAGGTCAATGATTATAATCACTCTCATGCATTCATTCTTATGCCCTCAAGCAAGGGAGTTATCCTCACTAGACAAAACCATAAACCTGGAAATGCCCAACTCTCCACCAGCACTTACTCCAACCATACTGAACAACTGCTTTAGAGAAAAACATCTACCCAAACGAACTGGTCTCACTTTAAATACATGATCATGATATTCAATTGTCCTGCAATTACTATGTATTTCCCTGATCCATTTACACTCTGTCTCTCCTTAGAAAAATGTTTCACACTTCTCCCTCCTACTTCCAACAGCTTCAACCCACTCTTGGCTAATGAATTTCCCTCTCCAATAAAAAACTTGAAGCAGTTAAAAGAGAACTCTCACAGATGTCCACTCACATTTACTCTCTTCCCACCATTTCTACCAGTATAGCCCATTCACCTCTTTTACTAAAGAGGTATGACGCATACATCTGTCCGATGTCAGTTGTTCCATTTGTGCTCTAGCTCCTACCCCATCTCCCTCACTTAAGGACAGTGCTCCAGCAACTCTTCCTTCTCTTGAGATGCTGTACCATCAGTTTCCTTCTCTGTGATCATTCCACTGCCTTTATTGCTCCTCTCTTAAACAAACCAACTAACCTATCTTGACCCCATTTTCTCTACCAATTATTGCCCTATTTTTCTGCTTCCTTTTTCAACAAAACTCCTCTGAAGAACAGTCCACCTTCCTCACACCATACATAAAAACTCAGCTGGGCACAGTGGCCCAGGCATGTAATCCCAGCACTTTGGGAGGCCAAGGCAGGTGGATCACTTGAGGTCAGGAGGTCAAGACCACCCTGGCCAACATGATGTAACCCCCGTCTCTACTAAAAATATAAAAATAGGTCAGGTGTTCTGGCAGGCACCAGTAGTCCCAGCTACTTCGGAAGCAGAGGCAGGAGAATCACTTGAATCCAAGAGGTGGAGGTTGTAGTGAGCTCAGATTGCACCACTGTACTCCAGCCTGGGTGACAGAGTGAGACTCCATCTCAAAAAAAAAAAAATTAACTAAAAATGGATCAAAGACATAAATATAAGAGCTAAATCCATAAAACTATAAAACTCTTAGAAGGAAAATGAGGGTAAATCTTTATTTCCTTCAGTTTGGCACTGGTTTCTTAGATATATACAAAAAATACAATGATAAAAGAAAAGATAGATAAATTACACATCAAAATTAAACACTTCTGTACATCAAAGAACACTATCAAGAAGGTAAAAAAGACAAGTCAAAGAATGGTAGAAAATATTTGCAAATTATTTGCAAATCATCTATCTGATAAAGCTTAATACCCAGAATATATAAAGAACTCCTAAAACTCAAAAAATGAAAACCCAATTAAAAACTGGGCAAAGGATTTAAATAGGCTTGTCTCCAAAGAAGATAGACGTATTTGCCAACAAGCACATAAAGAGATGCTCAATATCATTAGTCTTGCAAATCAGAGTCACAATTAGATATCACTCATACCTACTAACATGGCTATAATCAAAATGATGGAAAATAAGTGCTATCAAGGATATGGAGAAATTTAAGCCTTCCTATATTACTAGTAGGAATGTTAAATGGTGTGGCCACTGTGGAAAAGTCTGGTGGTTCTTCAATAAGTTAAATACAAAACTGCCATGTGATTCTGTAATTCTACTCCTGGGTACAAACTCAAACAAAACGTGTACCTGACTATTCACAGTGGCACTACTGACAACAGCCAAAAGATGGAATCAACCCAATGTCCATGAACTGATGAATGATGAACAAAATGTAGTGTATCAATACAATGCAATACAGGGACAAAAAAGAATACAGGTCTGACACAACATGGATGAACCCTGAAAATATTAACAACCGAGACACAAAAGAATATTATGATTCCATTTATATGCAATATCCAGAATAGACAAACTTTTTTTATCAGAAGGAAATCTTTCTTTAATCTTTATATATATGTGTGTGTGTGTGTGTGTGTGTGTGTGTGTATATATATATATATATATTTTTTTTTTTTTTAATTGCACTTTAGGTTCTGGGGTACATGTGCAGAACATGCAGGATTGCTGCATAGGTACATGGCAATGTGATTTCCTGCCTCCATCCCCCCGTCACCTATATCTGGCATTTCTCCCCATGTTATCCCTCCCCAACTTCCCTGCCCCCCAACCGTCCCTCCCCTATCCCCCCCACCAACAAATCCCAGTGTGTGATGCTCCCCTCCCTGTGTCCATGTGTTCTCATTGTTCAACACCCGCCTATGAGTGAGAAAATGTGGTGTTCGATTTTATATTCTTGTCAGTTTGCTGAGAATGATGGTTTCCAGATTAATCCATGTCCCTACAAAGGACACAAACTCATTGTTTTTTATGGCTGCACGGTATTCCATGGTATATATGTGCCACATTTTCCCTGTCCAGTCTATCATCAATGGGCATTTGGGTTGGTTCCAGGTCTTTGCTATTGTAAACAGTGCCACAATGAACATGTGTGCATAAGTCTTTATAATAGAACAATTTATAATCCTTTGGATATATACCCAGTAATGGGATTGCTGGGTCAAATGGAATTTCTATTTCTAGGTCCTTGATGAATTGCCACATTTGTCTTCCACAATGGTTGAACTAATTTACAATCCCACCAACAGTGTAAAAGTGTTCCTATTTCTCCACATCCTCTCCAGCATATGGGTCTCCAGATTTTTTAATGATTGCCATTCTAACTGGCGTGAGATGGTATC